ACGAAGCCCTCCTCCAGACGGGCGCGACGTACAAGCCAGGACAAGGACCGATGTTGCACGCGGAGCGCATCCTCCACGCGCAGCTGACGAATCTGGTCGACTTGATGATGGGATAAACGGTGCAATTCGCCGTTCATGCTGGACGCGACAGAGTTGTGCGGGGTGGAGCACAGCACATATCCCGACGAATATGGACGAGGCATGGGGGCCCCTCCTTTTCCGCAGCCTCCACCATCTACCGTTTCTCTGGACTTGGGGGGCCCTGGCGCCGTGCGTTTGCCGACATCGCAGATAGCATCTACAGACTCCAAGGGCATGGGATGCCCACTGAGTTCGCCTGCGCAGCAGATGGCCACTGCAGACCCCAAGGGCATGGGACGTCCACGACTGAGTCGAACGTCGTCGCAGATAGGACATTCTGAGGGCATGGGACGCCCACGCTTGCATTCGACGTCATCGCAGATGTCCACTACTGGCTCTCTGGGCATGGGAGGACCTACCTTGCGTGTGCCTGCGCCCCCGAGAGCATCCACAGACTCGCATCAGGGCGTGAGATGCCCTGCGGCTCCGGGCTCGCCGTCGGGAGCATGCCTTTCCAGCTGCCCACAGGCCTTTTCTAGAGGCGGGCCTAGGGCCAGAGTTTCCTGCCCAATCAAGACAAATGAGCTGATGGCACACGCCCGAACGACCCTGATGCGCCGCCGTCTGAGACACATACGAGCACGTGTGAGCGCATTTCTGTCCGCCCGCCTGCTAGTTCCCCCAGCCCTGAGCCCCGCCTCGCCCACTCCCGCTCTTCCACCCGCGCCGAAAGCGACCCCGCCCTCCAAAGAGGCCTCGCAAAGACCCTTCTGTCCCACTGCCGTCAGCGACGGCGCGCCGCGTTTCTGTCCCACCCAGTCTTCTGAGGCGTCGTTCGGGAACATATGTTGTACAATGGATGCCATTTTGAGACTCGTGGGACGCAGCAGGCGTTAAGATCTGCGTTTACGAATGTCTTGCCAGTGTGTGATAGCATGGTATGTCGTCGGGTGTAGCCCGGTCACAGAGGCACTCTGGCGTGCCAGACTTCATGATCTGCTGCTTCCGAGGGATCCGATCCGATACGTGAGTATATGTATGTATGTATATATATGTGTATAAATTCCACATGGAACGGCTGTGGATTCGACAGAAATGGTTTTATGTAGGGCTTGGAGAGGAGTACATACGGAAGAGGGAACGCCGCTGGAATTTACGAATCCTCCCGAGATTTTCCCCATCATTTGAATTCTTCCCATGTGCGTCCAGAAGGCTCCCGCAGAATTGGCCTTTTGAGAACCAAATTGATTTATTTAATCGCTTCGCTCATTCCGCCGGCCCGTATTGTGCCATCGCAGGCGTTTGCTTGCGCGTTCGTGGCCTCGTTGGGGCCGTTTGGGGCCTCTTGGCGCCTCTTTTTAGGCCTCTTGGAGAACTCGGGAGGCCTCCAGGGGGCCTCCTGAGCTCTCGTGACGGTCTCTTGGGGGGCTTTCGGCGGGCTCTTGGCGGTATTTGTTGGTCCTCTTGGGGCCTGGGGCCTGACGTTGTTGGTCCTCTTGGGGCCTCACGGGAGCTTATTGGGGCGTCTTGGGGGTGTCTTGGAGAGTCTCTTGGGGCCTCTTTCGGGGTCCTGGGCGCCTTCTGGGGCGGAGGGCTCGATTTTTCAGTTCTCGGTTCCCTTCTTGAACCCCTCTTGGGCCCGTCTTGGGGCCTCTTGGTCCGCCTTGGGCGGCACTTGGGCCGTCTGGGGGGCGCTCTTGGGCCGCTCCGGGGCCGTCTTGGGAGCCTCGTGGGCCGTCTTGGAGCAGTCTTGAAGGCCTCTTGGGCCCTCTTGGAGCGTCCGGAAGCGAAAAGGCCAGAACGCAAAAAACGTAGAAAAAAACAAATGAAAATCAACGATTTTGGCAACTTGGGGCTCTCTTCGGAGGCCTCTTGGAAGGCCCTTGGAGCGTCTTGGAGGCCTCTTGGGCTGTCTTGGGGCCATCTGGGGCGTCTTCGGGCGATCTTTGGCCGTCTCGGGCCTCTCTTGGACCGTCTAGAAAGCTTCTCGGGGCCCTCTTGGACCGATCTGGAGCCCTCTTGGACTCCGAAACAGAACTCCGGCATCTCTGGCCCGACCTTGCCGGGGACTTGCCAGGGCCTTGCCGGGGTACTTTTCGTCCGGGGACCCCCAGGGGCCGCCCCGCGCGCGCGAAGTAGAAATACTGTTAACCAGGTACCGGAGATCTTAGCACGCCCTGGCCCGTTGGGCCGGCGAATTCAATCGACCATTCTTCATTCTTCGGTGCACAGCGACATGCGCACGTGCCCGCACGACGGGGGGAAGGGTGAGGGAGGATGAGGAGGAGGTGGAGGAGGACGGGGAGGAGGAGGAACATGATGATAATAGGTGAAGGTGGAGGCGGAGGAGGAAGAAAAGGGACACACATCGCGTTCAATCTCAGCACGTCCGTGGCGTGGTGCATGGTTGCCCCCAGCACATCATCACCTACATGTTGTTTTGTCCTACTTGTCCTCTGCGCGCAGGCGGTGGTGTACACGGGCGCTGTGTTGCACGCGAATGCTCTGGTGTACACAGGCGCCGTGGTGTGCACAGGCGTCGCGGTGCACGCAAGCTTTGTGGTGTATACAGGCGCTGCGTTGCACATGGTTGTCGCGGTATACACATTCGCTGTGGTGTACACAAGCGCTGTGGTGCACGCAAGCACGGTGGTGTACACAGGCGCTGCGTTGCACACGGCTGCTGCGGTGTGCACAGACGCCGTGGTGTGCACACGCGTTGCGGTGCACGCAAGCACTGTGGTGTATACAGGCAATGTGTTGCACATGGTTGTCCCGGTGTACACATTCGCTGTGGTGTACACGGGGGCCGTGGTGCACGCAAGCAATGTGGTGTACATGCGCGTCGCTGTGCACGCGAGCACTGGTGTGCATAGTCGCTGTGGTGCAGATCGCCACCTACATGCTGCTCGTACTTGGCCTCTTTCGTCCGTAGGCATTCCCGGACGCCGCCGGCGCGGAATGTGACGTCATCCAGGGTGGGGGTTGGGGCGGTCTCGATCACGGCCGTTATCCCAGACTCTATATTTATATATATATATATATGTCTATATCTGTATCTATATCTATATCTATATCTACATATCTCTATATATACATATAGCTATCTATCTATATATATATATATCTATCTATCTATCTATCTAACTATCTATCTATCTATCTATCTATCTATATCTATCTATCTATATATATATCTCTATATATATGTGTACATACATATTTTTGTTTAAAAAGGGCTCCTGCCTTTGCCAGGCGTCTCCTTGCAGGCGTTGCCGGCCGCGTTCCAAAAGTTTGTCTCGTCCAGCATGCTGTTGTTATCTGCAGGTCGAGGCCGCGCCTCTTCGCCAGTGCGCGGATGCCCACGTGCGCCACTAAGCGCAAGCCTGCGCTCTGTCCGTTCCAGGCCTGTTCAGCCTCCTTGCGTGATTTTCGGCAGTGCCTTTGACCGCCTGTTCCCTGCGGGTAGGGAAGAGCTGGACTATTTTGGTCGCCGCGCTGTGCAGCCACCCGTGCCTCCGCCAGCTCATTCCACTCTCGGCTGTGCCCTCTTGTCATAGGAGGTCTCGATTACCAGTTCGCCTGCACAGGTCTTGGTAGCCTTGCTGCTGAACCCTGCGGCACTTTCTTTTTGATGCCAGTGGCTCGTTTTGATCGGTGTGCGTGAAGATCGCAGAGCCGCACCGCGTCGTGCCATTCGACCCGCCGTCCTTGTCTCGTTCGCTTTTCCGCCATGGCGAGACGAGCGCAATCGAACCGACCGTTAGCAGTGCCAGTCTGGATGCCATTGACGCCCATCAGCAGATCATTGTCAATGCGCACCAGCACGACCCCGCCTCGCTTGGGATAATGATTCACTTGCTGGCCGAATTCCAGGGCCAGCAGGATCTGCTTTACGTCCACATGTGCAGAAAACGCGGTGTGCAACCGGGTCCGCCCCTCGTTCCCGTCCTCTCTCCCTCTCCCTCCCCTTCTTACCGTTTCTTGTTTTCTTTTTTGCGTTTGCTTTCCATTCTCTTCCTCTCTCCCTGGGCGGGGGCGGATCCCTGGTTCCAAGTCGGGTTTGGGTGCCCTCTTGGGCTGGAGCAGCCTTTGGCGTCTTGCCCCTCGCCCGCTCGATTGCAGCCGGTTTGCGAGTCAGCGTCTGGTCATCAGGCTCTCTCGTTGTGTGTCGCCCCTGGTCGGTTTTTCCGCTGGCCTTTGCAGATTAGCTCCTCGCCGCCTCCGCGGCGTTTCTGGCCCGCTGGGCGCTGCGCGCGCGCCACGTCAGCAGACTGAGTTGGCGCCAACCCCTTGTGTGTTCGAGCTTCCCACGTCTCCTCTCATTATTAGGCATTGCGGCGGCGCAAAGGACTCGAATCCGGGTCCATCGTGCTGTCCACGCGCCGCCCAGCAGAGAGCACCGAACACGCCCAGCGCGATGCCGATCGAACAAAGAAGGTTCCTCTCCCTCCCTCCCCGCTCCTCCCTCATTCCCCCCCCCTCCTTCGGTTCCTTTTTCTTTTGCCTGAAGCTTATTCCTCCTCCTCGCCCCTCTCGTCGCTCCGCTTGGCGGATGTTTCGCCGCCCTTTTCCGTCCTCCATTCCATCCTCCCTCCTCCCCTCCATTTCCCTCCCCCTCCCTTCCCTTCCCTTCCCTCTCCCCCCCGTCCCCCGCCATCCTCCCGTCTTCCTCCTCCGCCTTCCCCCCTCCCTCCTATCCCGCCCCGTCTCTCCCCCAGCCATTCCCAGTGATGAGCCTGTTTTCCACCACCACCACCACAACCAGAAGTTGGATGGGGAGGAGGAGGAGGAGGAGGAGGAGGAGGACCCCCTCCCCCTCCAACTTATGGTGGTGGTGGTAGTGGTGGTGGAAAGCAGGCCCATCACCCAGTGAGCGCTGCGCGGCGGGGGACGAGCAGCAGAAAAGCAGCGAAAAGGTGGGAGCACGACCTCTGGCCCGGCGTCGAGGCGGACGAGGATCAGGCGGGGCAAAGACACACAGACGCAATGAACCGTCGATCCCCAGGAAAATACAGGAAAATAGGGGAAGTGTGTGGGGGGGGGGAAGACGACCCCCCAGAACATGTTTTGAAAATATGAGGACTCCTGTTGTTTGTGTGTATTTCTTTGCGTGTCCCTGGGCCCATTTGGAGGACAGCCAGTGGGCCTGCGCCGCCTGCACCTTCCGGAACCACGCCGCGCTGCGGGCGTGCGAGATGCGCGGCGCCCAGCGCCTGCGCGGGGCCAGCGCCGAGGGGCCTGCGAGGGGGCAGGGGGAGGATGCTCCGTATCGTTCAACCGATCCCCGTCCCCATCCTCCTCCCTCCTCCTCCTCTCCTTCTCCTTCCTCCTCTCCTCCTCCCTCCTCCTCCTCCTCCGCCTCCTCCTCCTGCTCCTTCCTCCTCCTCCCTCTTCCTCCTTCTCCTCCTCCTCCTCCTCCTCCTCCTCCTTCTCCTCCGCCCTTCTCCTCCTCCTCCTTCTCCTCCGCCCTCCTCCTCCTCCCAGTGGCACGATCCACACGGTGGCAGATCTCGGTATCGTTTAACCGATCCCCAGCCCCATCCCCATCCCCTTCGAGGCTCCCACCGAATTACCACCCCAGTTGGGGATGCACCCCTCGCAGCCCGAAGAGGAGCCCAGATCCCCATCCAGGGGGGTGAATCGGCCAGTGGGGCCCAGGCCACGCCGCTGGGGATGGGTGTCGGTTAAACGATACTCAAAGATGTGTGTGTGGGGGGGGGGGGGAGGGAGGGAGGAGGAGGAGCGAGAAGGAGGAGCGCCCACCCCACCAGTACTGCCATGCTTCCCGTCCTCCCCCCCCTCGCCCCCCTCCCCACCCCCGACCAATTCCTCCTCGGAGCAAGTAGGGGTTTGGAGAGGGGCGGACCAGAGCGGATCAGAGGAGAGGGGAGCAGTGGGGAAGGATGGGAGGGAAGGGGAGTGGAAGGAAAGGGGGAGGTGAGGGAGGGTGGAGTGAGGGAGAGGAGGGCGTGTGAGGCGCTTTCCCTTGCCGCGCGGCTCTTTATCGCCACGGGGGAGGGCGGGAGGGTGGGGAGCAGAACGGAGCGGATTGTCGTCCTCGTAATGTTTGTCGTTGTCGCCCTTCTTGTTATTCTCGCATTTGTCGTGCTCGCCTCTGTCCGTGGCGTCCTCGACGTCGTCGTCGTGGCCCTCGCCGTTTCCGACGTCGTCGTCGTCCTCGCCATCGTCGTCGTCGTCGTTATTGATCGGTCATGCAACCCCATATTGTACGTCGTCGTCATGGTCATGGTCCTTCTGCTGCTTCTACTCCTCCTCCTCACCATTACTACCGTCATCATCACAATGCTGTTGCCGCTGATTATGATGCTGCTCGTCCTCATAATATTGTTGCCGTCGCTGCCGTTGCCGCCGCTACTGCTGCTCCTCTTCATCATCCTCATGATCATCCTGTTACTGCTGTCGCTGTTGCTTTTCCTCCAGTTTCTCGTCGTCGTTCTCGTCGTTCTTCTCGCTCCTAGGTCTTAGTTACGCTTAGTCACGCTTAGGTCTTAGTCACGCTATCGAGGGCCCTTCCTCCCCTCTCCGCCCTTTTATCGATGGCTGGGGCTAGACCAGGCCAGAGCATCTCCGGGCGGCCGATCGCCCTGCAGACATGCTAAAGAGGTCGTGCCCATGCATTCACACTTGCTTCGAAAGGATCCAACCAACCAACGAACCAACCTTCCATCTCTTCTGTCCTCTTCTTCCTCTGCACTCTTGCACATCTTTCTCCTCCCACCATTGACATACCACTCGACATCATACTGCTCTGCTCCCTTATCATGCCTTCTTCCCCCTTGTCCCTCCCCCCATCTTCGCTCGCAGTCGTACCCTTCTCATCCCTGTCTCCTCCCTCTCTCCCTCTCCCTCCCTTTATCCTTCTCCTCGTCCTCATCGTTGTCCTTTCCCGATCTTCCCCCTCCTTGTTCATATTCCTACTCCTCTTACTCCTGTTCTTCTTCCTCCTTTCCCTTCTCTTCTCCCGCAAGGAAGCAGGGTCAGGAGGACAATAATGAGGTTCACGGTCCGACAGTTCCGAGGCAACATGTTGTGGGTGATCTGACGGCGTGCGAGGCCGAACTGCACGCATAGGGACTAGCTAAATAAGTGCCATTCGGTGCCAGGAGGAAGTCGCATCACATTAAGTCCAGAACGCGACCACATGGCAGTGGGTTTGAGTTCTTGGGTGTTCCTTTCAACGCAACATTACTCATGACAGGTTATGTGATTAGCTTGGCTAAAGACTGCGGCAGGGAGTTGGCAGTGTGTCTACGCACGAGAGAGCAAATCGTTTCTCGATCCAAGGCGCAGCTCTTGTTTTTCATTGAGTATCAGACGGTAGCTATGTATCACGCGCGTGATTCAGATTTGGCTGCTTTGGACCGCTCTCAGGAGAAGTTGATTGCTGCGGCCGCCGCTCGCGTCAAGGCCGTGGGAGCGTTCAACATTGCGCCCCTGTCTGCGCGCGGAATGTGGCATTTCTGGGGCGCATGCGCAGGATGGTCTTGGGCAGCGGGCCGCATCATTTTCGTGAATTCTTGTCTTCGGACTACAATCGCCTGCCTGCCAGTACTGTCGAGGAGTTCAGCGCTGTTTCTCCCTGCCACAGCGGACTGCAAGGCTCTCTCTGGCACAGCGCCCAGGGCAGTGGGGACTCAGAGTGGGCGAGATTTTGCAGCCCGCGTGTCCCCTGGCACACACTGAGCAAGTATGCTTCGTGAGTGGTCACCTGCTGTGCAGCCATCCCTTTAGAGGATGTGAGAAGATTTGGGAGGCTCCTCGTCCTCCTCGTCGCCCTCCTCTCTTTCCCCCCTCCCCTGCCCTTGCTCCCTTCCCCCCTCGTCCTCCCGATGACCTCCCCAGAGGCCCAGACAGGGCAGACCGCGCCCGCGCCCAATCCCTCGACCCTCGGCGCCGTCGATCCACGGCCCCGCCCCTCCCCGTGCGCGCCCGCTGGAGGTGCGAGACCCCCCGCCAGAGCCCCGCGGCGCCCGCCAGGGAGGCCCGTGCGAGCAACGTGCGGACGCTGCGCATCCCGGAGGGCCCGGAGCGCCAGTGCCACCGGGCCGTGCGAACGCCTTCCGCTCGTCGCCGCCCCCGCCGCCGTCGAGCGTCGGCCGCCGTCCGCGGTACGCCGTTGCGTTTTTGCTGGGCTCCTGCTGGTGGCTCCCGCCGAGTGGCTCCTGCGCTGCCCGCTCCCTGCCACTCCCGGCAGGATGTGGAGGAGGAGGCACAGGAGCAGGAGCGAGCAGGCGGATGTGGTGGAGGTGGAGGCGGCTGTGGGGTCCAGTTACAGGCGGAGGAGGGGAAATGTGGAGGAGGAGGAGGAGGAATCGGTGGAGGCACAGGAGGATGAGGAGGAGTAGATCGAAGAGGAGGAGGAGGAGGAGAAGGAGGAGGTGGAGGCACAGGACAATGGCATTTGGCTTCGGTTGGTGGTGGGAGGAGGATGATCACAATACCACACCAAGGATACATCAATACTGCTGCAAGACACCATTGCGTCTCGAATCCCTTGGTCATTTTTTTTTGCGAGTGCGTTCCGTAATTGCGGGAAAAGCCCCAGTGAAAGAGGAACGGTTCATGATTTGCCATTAAGGCGTCAGCCTCGTTTTGACGAGCAACTACCCTCCAGTCTTGTAGTTGAGTGTCATACAGAGAATTATGAATTATGGTTATGTATTCGCTTCGGCTTTTACCACCACCACCACTGAGCCGAGCATCCAGCATGACGCGTGGGCAGAAGAGTGCGCAAGCGGCATTTCTTCGAAACAAAATTGCTCGAGACCACACTGTCGTAGATCTTGCAATTTCTTCTCTATCGAAGAGACGGCTGTGACCAAAGTCGATCGAGTTGCTTGAATGTACCGGCTGCTTCTCCCAATCTTCTGGACACTTCAGCTGTTGTTTCCCCAGCATGCGAAACCACACCCCGTAAGTATGTTGCGTCTCGCAGTGCTTTTCTATCAGAGCCGCCTGGTCTCGTTACTTCTGTATGTGTGAAAATATGATGTTTGACTATTCTCTCCCAGTTGAGCTCCAAGCCATCTTTGCGCCCTTGTTCCACGATTGCGTTCAGCATGGCCTGCTGGTTAGCTTGACACTGCGATACTAACAATGTGTCGTCAGCATATACAATATCCCGGGTAACCACACATGCAGGTTCAGCTAGATGAAGTAAATGATCGATCGTGTCGTGCAGCATGACCGTTTGCACTGCGATGAACAAATACGGAGACAGCGGACACCCCTGTGCGATCCCAGCGGTTTGTCTCCTCTCCGTAGAACTCCCAGTGTGGTCCATGATGGTGAAGAAGCGAGCTGCGTAGATGGAGCGTATCATGTCCACGATGTCGCAGGGTAGGCCAAATCGTTGTAGGGCTTTGCACATGACTTCCGGCTTGATTCTGTCAAAGGCTTTTGCCCAATTCAGCACTCGTACCAATACACCTCAATTGTTATTCATGTGTGCGGCATCTATCATGCGCCTGACAAGCACGAGGGCGTCTGCGGTGCCGCGCCCAGGCCGGAAACCATATTGTGAGTTACGCATGCGTTTTTCGGACCCCCCTTGCAGCAACCTCTGATGTATGAGCGCCGCCAGGATTTGATCTTACTAAAAGCAAGGAAATAGGGCGGCAGTTCTCTGGAGGGGCAGCGTCTCCTTTCTTGAAAAGTAACCACTTTCGCCCTTTCCCAAGATTCTTGGGTCGCCTTCCTGGCCCAACAGTTTTGGCAGAGCCTCAAATAAGACGGTAGTGGCGCTTGTATCGCGCATGATCATTTTCCAAAAGTCCGAAGGGATATTGTCGGGTCCAGTGGCCTTTTCGAGCTTCAGTTTCTGTAGTATCTTGTGCAGCTCATCAATCGAACCATCAGGCGTGTGTATGGGTCAAATATCACACATGGGGGCTTACTATTATGGTTGTAATTCTGGATGTTGTACTTGCCACTGCACTTGCTCGAAGTAGTCTGCCATGATGTCTGCCCGTTCTGCAGTGTCTGATAGCGTGCCGTCTGGCTTCTTGATCGCAGCATGTTTTACATATCTGGGTTTACGTAAGAACCGTACCGCTTCCCATCCACCTCCAGCCACATATTCTTCCAGCCACGTTTTGCCATCTTCCTTCCCAGATTTGCGGATCATCTTATCCATCGTTTCTTCCGATGCAACGTCCCCAGCATGGCGACACGCCTTCCGCTGCTCATTAAGGTCTAGAGCACGACGGCTTGTCCATGGACGCCGCGGTCGAACTTATTTATCTGGTAGTGTGCTCGCTGCTTGTTGAAAAGCTTGTTCATCGTCAGCTTCTGCTTCTTCAAGCGTACAGGTTTGATACTCTGCCCAGGCATCGTCCGTGAAGGCGCGCAGGAAAGCACGCTCGGCACCAGTATCTTTCAAAGAGCTTTAGTCAGAAGACGTTTTCTTTTGTACCCGACCCGCCTGATGTCTTTATCTCCAGCTCCCGCGTGGCGGAGTCTAACGGTGAAGTCCCCGAGGACATAAAAATCGCGGAATGTTCAGAGGCAGGATGAATCAGATCTTCAAGTGGATGGTAAACATATTGCCTGATGTCGCCGTGACATCAAACGCAAGGTCGCCAGACAGTCGCCATTAGCATTGACAGCAAAAATCTTTGGCCGCATCCGCGGGGAACCAATGAAACCTTCACCTGCCCAGGTTCTTTTCTCCGAGTTCATTTCGTCTGAAAGGAATACAGAACATCCATCTTGAGTGGAATATTCTGCGCCAGTCCGGTGCGTTTCGTGAAAACACAAAACTTCCAAATGCCGCTCAGACACCATATTACACCGCTCCTTGTACTTCACCACATAATTCCCTCGAAGACCCTGAACGTTCCAGGTACCCAGGCGGCGCAAGCTAGAAGGAAGGCAACTCCGCCTCGGTCTTCCCCAATATAACGTGTCTCCTACACGGCGCAACGAGATAGAATAGAGAGGAAGGGAAGGACCCGGGTTGGTGGAAGTTGTAGCTACGCGTTGATGGTCTCCAGCTTCGTGCCCAGAATTGGTATCTATGCCCAGTCCGGCCATTCCCAGCCCAGCGTCGTTGTCAAAGTCGGTGCCGCCGTCGAGGCATCCAGCACGTGCACAAAATTGCCCAGTAGCGATAGTTGTAGCAGTTGGTGGTGGAGAAAAAGATGACGGAATTCACCCAGAAGAAGGGGAACATTCCACCGATGGTTCCACGAGGGTATCTTTGATCATACTCGTACTACCACCAGAAGGTGGATCGGCATACGTATCCGTATCAGTATATCTGTCAATAGTGATAGAGCCAGATGGCCCACACATGTGCTGCTTGATCAGGCATTCCCGCGACGTCCAAGTGCTCCAAGGTATTGTGCTGATGGTCGGCTTTGACACTGGCTGCGGTAAAACTTGGATCCACGATCGACCCTGGCGCCCACCGCATTTCCCACTGACCAGCATTTCCCTTTGATCTTCCCTTGGTCTCTCGCTTCATCCGGGCGTTCGCCCTTTGCGTGATGGCATCAAATTTCGGTGTCAATTCCACAAGTTTGGGATTGTTGTGCAAATCTTCCCATGTCTTCCATTCGCCTTCCCAGCTACGCTCCGTAGTAGTACCTGTGATACGTGAGGTGAGTGCTAGCTGACCTCCAACATGCAACTGGTAGGGTGACTCTTCCGAGACCCAGATAGTGTACGGTTTCTGCAGCTCATTGTTAAACATGTTTTTGAAGCCAAAACAAACATTGTGTGCAGCTCGCTCTACTGGTTCCCGGTCCAGCGAAGACCATACATTTGGGGGCCTCTTGAAGATTTTTTGGGGGCCTCGTGGGGCTTCTGGGGGCCTCCTTAGAGCTTCCTGGGAGCCTGCTGGCGGTCTCGGGGGCGAACTTTCTGGGAAGTCTCGATATGTCTGTTCGGGATCGGGGGCCCTCATGGGAGTCTCTGGAGCCTTCTGGGGAGGTCTCTGGGCCGTCCTGGGGCGCTGTTGGGCCGTCCTGGGAGGCTCTTGGGCTGACTTAGGGCGATCTTGGAGGCCTCTTGTGCTGTCCTGGGCGGTCGGAAGCTTGAGAAGGCGGTACCGCCAAAACCGTCCGAAATCCGCAGCAATAATTTCGTTTTCGGGGCATCCAGACGTTCTCATGGAAACCTTCTGGGTCGTCTTGAGCAATTCTTGGACCGTCTGGGGACCATCTTGGACTATGTTGGAACGCTCTTGGCCTGAGGCCGTGGGGCCTGCCACCCATTTGGCACCTCATTGGGGCGCTCCTGGGGTGCTCTGGGGGCCCCAATGGCCGCACCCAGAAGTTCCGGCATCCGTGACCCGGACTTGCGAGGACGTTGCTGGGACCTTGGCTGCCACGCGCGCGCAAACTAGGAGCAGTATTCAATTCTCACTGTAGATTTGAGCACTCCTCTGGTCCGTTTGGCCGGCGAATATGCACAGTTCAAGGAAGTATAACCTCGACGGCCTGGTCGTGAAAAGGAAGAAATGGCGGCAAGGGCCCCATGATGACAAGGTACCGCCCTCCACCCGTCGCAGACGGTTGGAGATATTGTTCTGCATGTTGCAGAGGTCTCACGCGGGAGCGGCGCAGCGCAGAGGCGGCAGACAAATTTTAGCACAACCCGTCCTTATGCTTGTAATTGTTGCAAGTTTCATTTGCGGTGTTGCAGAGAGATCCACCGTTTGGCAACAATAGGCCATCGGGCCATCCATCCTTCCATGCACGGACATGGCGGCGAAGGCTCAAGCGAAATGTCCAGTCCGTGTGTCCGATTCGAATGGTGGCGCGACCATCAAGAAAGACATACCGACAGCTCCCGCAGACGCGGATAAAAGTGAGGGGCTCCCCGCGCGCATCATTCAAACATCCCAATCAAAGTAGACATCTTGCCGCCGACGCAGATGTTTCTGGCCATGAGCTTTTAGGCCCCAATGCAAGCCGCGACGCCACGGGCCGCCCAGACGACCCCCAGATGGGCCCCTGCGACCTCCCAGTGGCCGTAGGGAGGATGTGATAAGTGTGAGGGTGCTTGGTTGTGCTGAACCAGCCAATGGCGTTCGAGTTGAAACGAGTTTGCGTGAGCGGACGCCTCACTCCGGTAAGGAAGACGGTTGGAGTACGAGGAGGAGCGATGAGCAAGGAGCGAGGTCGAAGAGGAGATGGTGGCAAGAGGTTTGGAGGAGAAGAGGATGATCACAAGTAAATGCGGGGACGAGGATGATAGTCTGAGGATGCGGAAGGGGAGGAGGCTGGGGAGGGATCTGGCGGAGAGGATGGTGACGGGTGGTCATGATGACGATGACGATGGCGGCGGTGGTGCAGACGATGACGATGACGATGACGATGGCGATGGCGAAGGTGTTGTTGATCACGTTGATGGTGTTGATGTTGTTGCTGGAGATGATGTTGTTGATGATGACGGTGAGGATGATGATGATGTTGAGTATGATGATGATGATGCTGAGGTTGATGCTCTTTAGAGGATGGCGATTGTGCTGATGATGCTGCTGATGCTGATGCTGATGATGATGCTGCTGCTGCTGATGATGATGCTGATGATGATGATGATGATGATGATGATGATGATGATGATGCGGATGATGATGAATCTGATGATGCTGATGATGTTGATGATGATGTTGGTGATGATGATGATGGTGGTGGTGATGGTGATGGTCATGATATTGATGCTGCTGCTGATGATGATGATGGTGAGGATGAGGATGAGGATGATGATGACGATGATGATGCTGCTGCTGATGATGATGATGGTGATGATGATATGCTTGGCATCGCGGGGCGACGAGCTGCAATATTGGGGAGCAGGCCCGGCAGGAGAGGGGGTTCATCATCAGCAGTAGGAGCAGGGGAATGAGCAGAAGAAGCAGCAGGAGCAGGGATGGGGCCACAGAGGGGGAGGTGGAGCAGGAGGAGGCGGGCGGCAGTCGCAGCTTAGCACCTGGAGCTGTGGGGAAGAAGGGGAAGGATGGACGAGGCAGAGTAGGGGGACGAGGCTTAGGAGGAAGAGGAGACGGAGGAGGCTGAGATCGAGGAGGCGGTATATTTTCGTTGTCGGTCTCCTGCATCGGCGCTGGGCCCCCGTTAGGAGGAGAGATGGCGCCGCTTTGGGAGCGCTCCGAGCGCCGGGGAGGGAGGCCCGGCGACGATCCGAGAAATCCTCGCGGACCTCCGACAGCTATTGTTCATGCAGTGTTCTCTTTTTCCCACCCTCCTATGGTTGGGTACTCGTTTTGAATAGAGCAGTGTGGTCGCCCCATCCTCCTCCTCCTCCTCCTCCTCCTCCTCCTCCTCCTCCTCCTCCTCCTCCTCCTCCTCCTCCTCCCCTCTCCTCCCCTCCACCTTCTCTCAAGTTTCCTGTGCTCCCTTCTCCTCTTCTCTCGTGCCGTCTGCGATCTGCGCAACTGTCGCCACTTTCGTGGGCTCCTGGGAGGCCCAGTGGGGGTACGTCCCACGCGGACCACCTCGCGTCGGGACCTCGCCGCCCATTGGGGGGCTTGCGATCTGCGTATTTGTCGCCACTTTCGTGGGCTCCTGGGAGGCCCAGCGGAGGTACGTCCCACGCGGACCACCTTGGGACCTCGCCGCCCCCTGGGGGGCTTGCGATCTGCACATTTGTCGCCACTTTCGTGGGCTCCTGGGAGGCCCAGCGGAGGCACGTCCCACGCGGACCACCTCGGGACCTCGCCGCTCCTTGGGGGGCTTGCGATCTGCGCAACTGTCGCCATTTCGTGGGCTCCTGGGAGGCCCAGCGGAGGTACGTCCCACGCGGACCACCTCGGGACCTCGCCGCTCTCTGGGGGGCTTGCGATCTCCGCAACTGTCGCTTCTTTCGTGGGCTCCTGGGAGGTCCAGCATGCGATCTGCGCAACTGTCGCCACTTTCGTGGGCTCCTGGGAGGCCCAGCGGCGGTACGTCCCACACGGACCACCTCGGGACCTCGCCGCCCCCTGGGGGGCTTGCGATCTGCGCAGTTGTCGCCACTTTCGTGGGCTCCTGGGAGGCCCAGCGGAGGCACGTCCCACGCGGACCACCTCGGGACCTGGCCGCCCCCTGGGGGGCTAGCGATCTGCGCAACTGTCGCCACTTTCGTGGGCTCCTGGGAGGCCCAGGAGGCACGTCCCACGCGGACCACCTCGGGACCTGGCCGTTCCCTGGGGGGCTTGCGATCTGCGCATTTGTCGCCACTTTCGTGGGCTCCTGGGAGGCCCAGCGGAAGCACACGGACCACCTCGGGACCTCGCCGCTCCCTGGGGGGCTTGCGATCTGCGCATTTGTCGCCACTTTCGTGGGCTCCTGGGAGGCCCAGCGGAGGCACGTCCCACGCGGACCACCTCGGGACCTCGCCGCCCCCTGGGGGGCATGCGATCTGCGCAACTGTCGCCACTTTCGTGGGCTCCTGGGAGGTCCAGCATGCGATCTGCGCAACTATCGCCACTTTCGTGGGCTCATGGGAGGCCCAGCGACGGTACGTCCCACGCGGACCACCTCGGGACCTCGCCGCCCATTGGGGGGCTTGCGATCTGCGCAACTGTCGCAACTTTCGGGGGCTCCTGGGAGGAGACCCAGCGGAGGCACGTCCCACGCGGACCACCTCGGGACCTCGCCACCCCAGGGGGGGCTAGCGATCTGCGCATGTGTCGCCATGTTCGTGGGCTCCTGGGAGGCCCAGCGGAGGCACGTCCCACGCGGACCACCTCGAGACCTCGCCGCCCCAGGGGGGGGCTAGCGATCTGCGCAACTGTCGCCATTTTCGTGGGCTCCTGGGAGGCCCAGCGGAGGCACGTCCCACGCGGACCACCTCGAGACCTCGCCGCCCCCTGGGGGGCTTGCGATCTGCGCATGTGTCGCCACTTTCGTGGGCTCCTGGGAGGCCCAGCCGAGGCACGTCCCACGCGGACCACCTCGGGACCTCGCCGCTCCCTGGGGGGCTTGCGATCTGCGCATTTGTCGCCACTTTCGTGGGCTCCTGGGAGGCCCAGCGGAGGTACGTCCCACGCGGACCACCTTGGGACCTCGCCGCCTCCTGAGAGCTTGCGATCTGCGAAAGTGTCGCCACTTTCGTGGGCTCCTGGGAGGCCCAGCGGAGGCACGTCCCACGCGGACCACCTCGGGACCTCGCCGCCCCCTGGGGGGCTTGCGATCTGCGCAGTTGTCGTTATGTTCGTGGGCTCCTGGGAGGCCCAGCGGCGGTACGTCCCACGCGGACCACCTCGGGACCTCGCCGCCCCTTGGGGGGCTTGCGATCTGCGCAGTTGTCGCCACTTTCGTGGGCTCCTGGGAGGCCCAGCGGAGGCACGTCCCACGCGGACCACCTTGGGACCTCGCCGCCCCTGGGGGCTTGCGATCTGCGCAACTGTCGCCACTTTCGTGGGCTCCTGGGAGGCCCTTTTGTGCTCACTTTTTGGGCGCGTTTCTTTCAACGCCCCCGTGTTCCATTTTGTATACGTGCCGTTCCTCCTCTTGCTGCGCTCTTCTGACATCATTGCTGGGTGCTTTTCTTGCGCACTGCGGGTCCTTCGGAATACCAGTTGAGTGGTCCTGAGTTTAATCGCCATATGTATAGAAAGGGTTGGGTACATCACAGGGTAAGTTCATGAGGGGGATGAGGGGGCGGAGAAGCAGCATGGATGAGGAGGAACCGAAACGTGGGTCGGTTCGTGGGCGACGCTTCCTCTAGCCGTTCTCCCTCGCCGACGATCGCAGGTGGATGTGCGCCGTGTGCACGTTTATGAACCACCCGGCCATCGAGGCCACGGATGAGACGGGGCAGGACGCGGAGGAGGACGACGATACGAGGATGACAACGGGGGTGGGGAGAAGGAGTAGTAAGGCTGCCGCTGAGGGAGAGGGGGCAGGAGGGGGCGGAGGAGACCTTGGAGAAATAGGTGGAGAAGAAAGAGTTCGCGGCGCATTGGCTTAGCAATCTTGAGGCGCCGTGCGCACGTCTTTTTTTCTATACGCGTATACTAGTTTTTCAATGCAGCCCGTGTTCTTTAGGATCAGGGAGCAGCGTATAGCAGTAGTCTCTTGCACTACAACGTCTCTTGCACTCCAACGACTCTTGCACTACAACAACTCCTGCAACGACTCGGACCGAACTGTTGATGTGCGTATCCCGTGTGGGCACATCCCTGACCAGTCTGGCCGGGGTCAGCCGAAACACGGAGGCTCAGTTGAGGTTTTCTTCAGTGAAGATTGACTTTGTAAATTTATTGTCGTTGTCTCTATTGCTATCATGTGCCTCCGCGATGTGACACCTCCGTGTCCCTAAAGCACAGTGGGTCGTTATGTGTTTCAGGGCTTAGTAGTTCAGTCAGGTCAATGATACCTCAAACCCGCTCAAGCTCCTGATAACCCATTTTGCGACGCTGTGGCAGATCTTGTTTTAATGCGCATGCTACTACTCTGTCAGTGCAGGTCGTACCCTTCACCATCACAGCGAACCATACCAAAATCGTGCCGTCCCTGGGTGACGACCACAGTGTTATACCGACTCTGTCACCACAAGGACTCTTGTAGCGATCCCGACCGATGTGTCGTTGGAGGTATCTGGTGTCGGCAGGTCGTTGGTCAGTCTGGCGCTTGGTGAGCCGAAACACTGCGGTGCAGTGATGGTGTGCCCTGGTGAGGGTTGAGTATCTAGGTCTGCTCTCGTCGACTATCGAAGACGCCTAAGGCGAATCACTGCCACCCCCTGCCTTGTCTGAAGCGCGTAAGTGGCCGAACGTTGCCGCCAGAGCTTTGCTAAGCTATCGGGCCATGTGTTCCCCCAGCCGTTGCGAAGGCCATTCGGGGACCGCGTGGGGGAGACAGAAGAAGAGGAGGAGAGGGTGGAACAGGATAAGGAGGAGGAGACCTCTTCGGGAACTCTTGTGGCGTCCTGGGATCTTCCTGGCGACCTCTGGGAGGCCTCTTAGGGGCTGCCTTGGATCTCTTGGGGGGCCTACGGAGGCTCCTTAAAAGGCTCGTTGGCCGTTTGACGGCGTTCCTGTCCCGTCTGACGACGTCGGACGCCGTCTTGGGGGCCTCTCTGGGCCGACTTTGGGCTTTCTTGGGGCGCTTCAGGGCCGTCTTGGAGGCCATATTGGACATCTTGGATGTCTCCTGGGCCGTCCTGGGGTCATCTTGGGTCCGTCTTGGGTGCCTCTTGCTTGTAGGCCTCTTGGGCGCTCTGGAGGCGACCTTGGCGGCCTCTTGGGCCGTATCGGGCTCTCAGCAGGCCGAAAAGACACACATGCACACATCCTGCAAACACCGATGTGACTTCAATACGCTTGTTGTTTATTTGGACCTCTTGGCCGCCTTGGAGGCATCGTTTGGCCGTCTTGGAGGCATCTTGTGGGCCTCTTGGACTGTCTTGGGCCATCTTGAGGCCATTTTCGGTCGTCTGGTGTTTCTTGGGCCGTCTTAGGGGACCTCTTGGAGCCGTCTTGGAGGCGATCTTGGGCCATCTTGGAGCCTTCGGGGGGCAGACAGACCCTGGCCAACCACCCCGCCCAGGGCTTTCCGGGTGGTCGGCGGGATCGGCCGACGCCCCAGGGGGAGTTCGTTCGAAAAGAATCAAGACCCGCCCAGAAATCATTCATAGCCATTTTGGCCCAGGTGTCTAGAGGTGAGACCGCCACATTCCGCGGCAGTCTTCCTGTAGCTTCTCCGAACCACCCGCCTGCCGAGACAGTTCTCTCAGCACCATGCGTGAGGCGATCTGCATCCACATCGGCCAGGCAGGCGTTCAGATAGGCAACGCTTGCTGGGAACTTTTCTGCCTCGAGCATGGCATCCAGCCTGACGGGCAGATGCCGTCCGACAAGACTATCGGGGGCGGCGACGACGCTTTCAATACATTCTTCTCTGAGACGGGTGCTGGGAAGCACGTTCCTCGTTGTGTGATGGTCGATCTTGAGCCCACCGTGGTCGATGAGGTCCGCACGGGCACGTACCGCCAGCTCTTCCACCCCGAGCAATTGATCTCCGGGAAGGAGGACGCGGCCAACAATTTTGCGCGCGGCCACTACACAATCGGCAAAGAGATTGTCGATCTGGTCCTGGATCGCATTCGGAAGCTTGCCGACAATTGCACGGGGCTCCAGGGATTCATGATCTACAACGCCGTCGGCGGGGGCACTGGTTCAGGGCTCGGCTGCCTGATGCTGGAGCGCCTGTCGGTGGATTACGGCAAGAAGACCAAGGTCTCGTTCACGGTGTGGGCGTGCCCGCAGATCGCCACGGCGGTCGTGGAGCCTTACAACACCGTTCTGTGCGTACATTCTTTGCTGGAGCACACGGACATCACCATAATGTACGATAATGAGGCGTTGTACGATATTTGCAGGCGGAACCTTGATATTGAGCGCCCCACGTACACGAACTTGAACAGGCTTCTGGCCCAGATCATATCCTCTTTGACGGCTTCGTTGCGCTTTGACGGCGCGCTCAACGTGGACATCACTGAGTTCCAGACGAATTTGGTGCCGTACCCGCGCATCCACTTCATGCTCTCGAGCTACGCACCAGTGATTTCTGCCGAGAAGGCGTACCACGAGCAGCTCTCTGTGGCCGAAATCACCATGTCGGTGTTCGAACCTTCTGCCATGTTTGTCAAGTGCGACCCCCGCCACGGCAAGTATATGGCGTGCTGCATGATGTACCGTGGCGACGTGGTGCCCAAGGACGTGAACGCAGCGGTTGCCACGATCAAGACGAAGCGCACAATTCAGTTTGTGGATTGGTGCCCTACTGGATTCAAAATCGGTATCAACTACCAGCCTCCAACCGTGGTGCCCGGCGGCGACTTGGCGAAGGTGATGCGCGCGTGCTGCATGATCAGCAACTCCACGGCCATCGCGGAGGTGTTCTCCCGCATCGACCACAAGTTTGACCTCATGTATTCCAAGCGCGCGTTCGTGCACTGGTACGTCGGCGAGGGCATGGAGGAGGGCGAGTTCTCAGAGGCCCGCGAGGATCTGGCCGCGCTGGAGAAAGACTACGAGGAGGTCGGCATCGAGACCGCCGAGGGTGAGGGCGAGGAGGAAGGCTACGGCGACGAGTTCTGAGCCAGGCTGCTCAGCTGCAGCGGGGCCGGCGCGCCCTGGCGATTCAATAATCTTACCTGCAAGAAGTCTTGCAGATTCTGGCGGCGGGCGCCACGGGGAACGCACCGCTACGATGTCGAGCACCAGCCCGCTCAGAACCATCTTCTTGCCGGAGTGTTTCGCCTACGGTGAATCAATCGATGAATTCGTTGGGCTCCAGCTCGCTGAGTTTACGGCGACCCGCCAACCCCAGGGAGTTCTTCCCTCCTCTCGCCTTTCTCCGCTCGGCCCTTCTACAGTGGTGTCCCGCGGAAGGCAAGGACGTCTAACTTGGACGACCGCGCTCAAGGCAGGTGGCAAGGGCACCGCCAAGGCCAAGGCATAGAACGCCGCCTTGGACAGGCAGAGTCGGTCGCCTCGCTTGTCACGCGTGTGAGCTCCTCGGCGAAAAAGGAAAATCTGCGCGCCGCGCACCCCTGTGATAAATCATCAGAGGGCGGCCGGTCGAAGGCGCCTACGGCGAATCACAGCCGCCCCCTGCTTTTTTGTAACCGCCTATGTTGCCGAACGTTGTGGCCATGGCTCGGCCGAGCTGTCAGACTACCTGTACCCCCAGCCGGTTTGGAAACCCTTCGGGGAACACGTGCGGGATAAAGAAGAAGAATAATAATATGGAGAAGAAGAGAAACAACAGAGGCGAGGGAGGAAAGGGAGTAGGAGGCTTCTTTGGGCGCCCATTGGCCCATTGGGGCACTCTTGGGGTCTCCTGGAAGCTTCCTGGGGGCCTCTTGGAGGTATCTTGAGAGCCTCTTGGGCCGTCATAGGCCACCTTGAAGCCATTTTCGACCGTCTCGGGTGCATCTTGGGCCGACGTGGGTACGTCTCGGGACCATCTAAGGCTCTCTGGGCCTTCTTGGGCCGTCTTGGAGACCTTTTGGAGCCGTCTTGGAGGCGATCTTGGGCCATCTTGGGCCATCTTGGAACCCTCTGGGGCAGACAGACCCTGGCCAACCACCCCGCCCAGGGCTTTCCGGGTGGTCGGCGGGATCGGCCGAAGCCCAAGGGGGAGTTCGTTCGAAAAGAATCAAGTCCCACCAACAGTACATCTATAGCCATTTTGGCTCAGGTGTCTAGAAGTGAGACCGCCGCATTCCGCGGCAGTCGTCGTGCAAGTTCTCCGAGCCACCCGTCTGCCCAGACAGTTTTCTCAGCCCTATGCGTGAGGCGATCTGCATCCACATCGGCCAGGCAGGCGTGCGCCTGGGCGCAGTCCGTGGCTGCGGTGGCGGATGCCGTGCAGAGCGTCTAGTTCAGAGATGCCGCGCTCGCCCAAGGGTTGCTGTCTCCTCGGGCGATGCCAACTCGAGCCCTTGGGGGGGCGTGTCGATGTGTGACGTGGCTCAAGCCATTTTGGCTCAAGCCATTTTGGCTCAAGCCCCGTTGCCTGTCTGGCTCAGTGGCGCCGCCCCCCCGGCCCGCGCGTAGGGTAATCCGCGCGCGAGGCCGCATGCCGGGCGGCCGCCGCGGCAAGCCGCCGGCTGGGGGCGGCCCCGCCGTGTCGCCGCAGCTGGGGAAGGCGCTGCTGGCCGCATGCCGGGCTGCTGGGATGCCTGGGCTGGGGGGCGGCGGGGGGCAGCAGAGGCAGCAGCGGCAGCAGCATATGCAGCAAAAGCAGGGGCAGGAACGCAAGGCTCCGGAGGGCCCGCGGCTGCCTCTGTGGGGCTGCTCCTGCGGGGTTGCCGACAATTGGGCTTGTCGGACTGCCTGCCGTGCATGTGGCCGCCGTGGCCCGCGCGCTGCCGTAGGGAACACGCCGCCCCCCGGAGCGGCGCGCCCTCCTCCGGCGGCTGCTGCTGGGCGGACCTGGGCGCAGGTGGCGGGTGCCGCGGGGGCACCCCCAGGCGCGGCTCAGGCGGCGGCGGCAGGGCCGCAGTCGGCGGAAGCCCCTCGCGACCCCGCTCCGGCAGCGGCGCCGACGGCTGCGGAGCGCCTCGCAGGCCTACGGGCCCGCATCGCCGCCTTCCAGCCGTTCCCGGAGTGCGCCGCCACCGTGGTGCAGTTGGAGGCGGAGGCGGCAGCCATTGTGGAAGCAGAGCGGGCTGCCCGGCCGCTCGAGCGCAGGCTGCAGTCGGCGGTGGACTCCCTGCGCACGCGGTCTGCGGCGGTTCAGAAGGCGCGGCAGGCCGCCCTGGACGCGCAGGAGGTGGCCGATCAGGCTGTCCAGGCTGCCGCGGCGATGGAGGCCCAGGCGGTGCACGCCGAGGCCGAGGAGGCGGCCGCGCAGCAGGCGCTGGTGGCGGTGCAGGCCGAGGCCGCCGCTGGAGGAGCCGCTGCGCCCGCAGGCGGGCCCAGCGCGCCTGGGGGAGGGCTCGATGCGGCCTTCGAGGCGATGGCGGCCGCGGCGTCCCCCGCCGTACAGGCCGCGGTGGTCGCTCTGCTGGCGCAGCTTCGCGGGGTGTTGGCGGCGCCGCCAGGTGGCGCAGGGCTTGTTGGGCCTGCCGGTGGTGCGGTGGCGGCGGCAGGCCCAGGCGGCAAATCAGGGCTGCACGGAGGCGCGGCGGCTGCGGCGCCGGCCGATGCGCGCATGCCTGCCGCCGATGCTCCTGGGGAGGCCGGACCTCCGCCGGCTCCGCTCGGCAGCGGCAGGCGGCGCGCGGCCTCAGCAGGCGCGAGGGCTGCGCGATGGTACTCCCCGCTCCGGGCGGGGTCCGAAGACGGCGACCGCTCCCGTTCCACGGACCGCGGAGGCTCCCCAGAGGCCCGCATTCCGCTCTTCGCCCAGCCCGCGCACCTGCCGGCCGGGCAGCGGACTCTGCCCTTGCGGCGATGCGCGCGCCTTGCCGCAGCGGCACCTGGCGGTGCATAATGGTGCCTCGCTCGCGCAGCCGTCGGCGTCGGGCACCCTGCAGCAGCCAGGGCGTGCAGGTGAGTGGTGCCGTGGAGGACCCGAATAGCCCAAGTGCAAGCTGCGGATGTGCCGCGGGGCTGCTGCTGACCGCCGCCCAGGCCGCCACCCGCATGAGGTTGCCGGGCGAGGCTCCCGGCAACCGCCCGGGCCGCGATCGCACGAGTGCGAGCTGCGGATGCGTCGCGGGGCTGCTGGCGCTGCTCCGGCCCCTCCGGGATCCCAGGCTGCTGAGCCCTTCTTCGAGAATGGTGGTTCTTATGCTAGTTGCACCCTATGTATAAGTATCGCAAGTAACATAGCTACTTACATGAGCTACTTATGGGTACTTACTAAGATACTTATAAGTAACTTAAGTTGATGTTTTTAAGTTACTTAAGCTAACACTATAAGATACTTATAAGTTACTTAGGGAAATGAAGCGATCGCGATCGCTTGGGAGGAGGAGGAGGAGGAGGAGGAGAGCGATGTCGATCGCTGTGAGGGGGGGGAGGGGGGGAGGAGAGTGATGAGCGCGGCGGGGCGCGCGGCCTCCTCACCGCGCGCGGCCGCGTCCTCAGTGTACGCGCGGCCTCCTCACCGCGCAGGGGGCTCACCCTCAGGGGCCGCCTCGCCGCCCTGCCCGTCGCGGAAGGCGGCCAAGCAGATCGCCTCCGCCTCGCTCAACGCCTGCAGCTCGGCCTGCTGTTGGAGCCGCCTGAGGCCCCCTCTCGGCCGACGGCTGCAACCTCGAGGCGCGGCCGCTTGGGTGGCGGCGGCGGCGCCGCGTCCTTGGAGGTGGCCGCAACGAAAGCGGCGGGCGACGGCATCTTGAAGAACTTCGCGTTGGCCATATTCGGCCACGGGCCGCCTCGCGGCAGCGGAACACTGGACGGCTTCGCGCCGACCAGCCCAGGTGGCAGCGGTTCCGAGGGGAGATCGCCCATGACGCGCCCCCTCCTGCGCGCGCGCGCCGTCGCTTGGCCGCGAGCGCCCCGTGCGTCACTCGCGAGGCGAGCCGAAACGGCTGAGCAATCGCCGTCATCGCGAGCCCATCGTCGCCAACGCCCGCCCGAGCGATCGCCATCGCTCCACCCATATTCCCACCCGCGCCCGAGCGATCGACATCGCTCTCCTCCTCCTCATCATCGTCATCCTCCTCTTCCTCCTTCTCCTGCCTCCTCCCCCTTCCAAGCGATCGACATCGCTTCGCCTCCCCCAGCGATCGGCATCGCTCTCTTGCTCCTCATCCTCCTCCTCCTCCTCCTCCTCCTCGCGGCGATCGAGATCGCGAGCCCCCCTGGCTGCCTATGCAAATCCCGCGGCCCCACTGGCTGCCCATGCACATCGCGATCGGCATCGCTACTCCTCCTCCTCCCTCCGCAGCCCCCTGGCTGCCCATGCAGATCCTGCTCCTCCTCATCCTCCTGCTCCTGCTCCTCCTGCTCCTCCTGCGCCTCCTGCTCCTCCTCCTCCTCCGCCTCCTCCTCCTCCTCCAAGCGATCGCCATCGCTACCTCCCCCAAGCGATCGACATCGATATCCCCCCCCAAGCTTCTTGTTGGCGCGCGCAGCCTCGCGCCGCCTCACTGCGGGGGCGCAGGCCGCGGCGGCGGGAGCGGCTCAGTCAGGGCGTCCGTGGACGACCCTGGGCGCCCGTCGCCGCCCGTGAGCCCCTCCGCACGGGGGGGCCACGGCGGCGGAGGCGGCGTCGTCAGGGCGTCGGCCATGTCCACCGCCGACGCCATGGCCTGGACCGCCTCGGGGGCGTCGTACAGCCTCTGCAGGCGGATGATCGCCATCGCGTCCTGATTGAGCTGCGCCAGCGCCGCCGCATGCACCGCGGCGCGGCGGCGCGCGACGCCCAGCAGCTCGGCGGCCCGATCCAGCTCGACGTCGCGCATGTCGATCTGGAGGGCCAAGTGCCGCGCCACCTGGGGGGGTCGTCGTCGTCGTCGCCGCCGCCGCCGCCGTCGTCGTCGCCGCCACCCGTCGTCGTCGTCGTCGTCGTCGTCGTCGTCGTCGTCGTCGTCGTCGTCGTCTCGTCGTCGTCTCGTCGTCGTCGTCGTCGTCTTATCCGCCTCCTCCTTCTCCGCCCGCAGCTGGGCGTTCGCCGCGCGCAGCTGCTCGACCTCCCCGCGCAGCTGCTCCACCTCCCCGAGCAGCCGCTCGGGCAAGCTCGCCTCATTCGTCGCCGTCTTCGTCGCCGTCGTCGCATCGTCGTCGTCGTCTCGTCGTCGTGCGCGGCCGCCTTCGGCCAGCTCGAGGCGCGCTTGCGCGCGGCCGCCAGGGGCATCATCGCGCATGCCCCGCGCGAGCCCAAGGGGCAGCAGCGCGCCAAAGCTGAACGGTTGCGCGCAGTGATCTTATGTTCCTCCTCCCACCCCCCGCCCATCTTCCAGCGATCGATATCGCTATCCTCCCTCCTCCGCCACCTCCTCCTCCTCCTCTTCCTCCTTCAAGCGATCGACGTCGCTTCACCTCACCCAGCGATCGACATCGCTCGATTTTCTTTTCCGCCCCCCCCTCCTTCCAGCGATCGGCATCGCTTTCTCCCTCCCCCTCCTCCTCCTCCTCATCATCATCCTCTTCCTCTCATCTCCTCACCCAAGCGATCGGCATCGCTTCACCTCACCCAGCGATCGACATCGCCCCCCACACACACACACACACACCGCGGCGCGGCGCATGTTTCCATCTGGTTCTCAGCGCGCGTGCGCGATGACATAGTCACCGTTGCTCTTCACGCGCCACGCCCAGACAGCGCCATCCAGGTCAGCGTCGGACATCTTGATGACGAGGAGCTCGTTCACCACGCTGCCAGTGCTGAGGCCGCACGCGCCCGTTGAGATCTCGATCCCGCGGGCGACGATGTGCAGTTCGCCAGAAATCTCCGCGCACGCGTCGATGATAAACACCTCGCCGCCGCGCGAGCGAACCACCTGGCCCACGTTGTAGGCGTTCCCTTCCCAGCGCAACCCCCTGGCCACGGAGACGTCGGCGGCCCCGACTACGGAGCGCAACCCGTCAGATTCGGCACGCGCTCCCACCAGCGAGTTGCCCGTCGGCCCCATCTTCTCGAGTTGCCGCACTTGCTGCAATACGCAGCCCGCGAGCGTCGTGGCCTCCATGCGCGCGGTGTTCTCCACTGGTTCGGCCACCGCCTTTGCCGCCTTATTGTGGCGCTCCGTCACGAAGCAGTCGAGCTCTTTCGGCTCCTGCTCCGCGTTGTGAAACACGTAGTGGTGTTTGGGCTTCACGTATTTGGTGCCGTACGCCTGCTTGTGCAAGTTGAGATGGACTTCAGCCGCTGCAATGAAGTCACTGCGAGGGGGGGCACGCCCGCGCTTGACCTTCAGGAACGCGTCCGCCAGCAGGCCGCACGCCCGAAGGGACGCTATTTCGCGCTCGAGCGACCCGATGCGGACGGCGCGCTCCTCGGCGAACGCCAAAAGGACGAAGAAGGTCGAGATCAGCTCGCTGGCGCCTGCTTTGAATGATTTCTTGCACGCGGTCTCGTGCCCAGGCGTGAACATATATTTTGCCGTTCTGCCGTGCGACCTCGGGAACTGCCAGCGCCGCGTGAACGCGTGAAGCTCGGGCCATCCGATGCCAGCTTTTCTCTGGCACGCCTTCACAAACGCGAACACCTCCCAGCCAACGGTGCCATTGCTCCATAGGTTGTGCATGCTGTCATACGTCATGGCGGACGGCTTCATTATCGCCCGCAATTCCTTATCCTCCAGCAAGCCATTGGGATGGTAGTTGAAGCCGCTGGCTTTGTCGAGCTTCTGGAAGTTGCCCTTCGTCATGTGGCCAGGCTGTCCCGCGGTCGCCGCCGCTGCGGCGAGGTCGTCCCACAGTTTCCACACGTCGGCGTCTGAATGACGATCGAAGCGCGCGTGCTCGTGACAACAGATGTCGACGAAGTAGCCGCCGTCGCCGTCGACGGAACCGCCCTTCAAGATCACGTTCTTGCATCGCAAGCAAGGCCTCCAGCCGTTGGCACCCCGCAAACGCAGAATGCCTTTGAACGCATCCATGTCTGCGAGAAGATTGGAGAGGCGCGCCCGCACCAGCATCGGAGTGCCGTTGGCCAGCTCCACGTGCGCGCCAGCTCCCGCGAGCCTGGAGGATCCGAAGAACATCTCCCTGATGAGGAGTCGAGTGGCACAAGAGATGCCGCCGTCCACGCGATTGCTCGCTTTCGTTCGCAGACACCCCAGCGGTAGCCACAGCTCTTCCCTCCATAGCATGTCAGCCCCGAACTCCAGGAACGTGAAGAAGATCATCCAGAACTTCCGATCGTGCCTCAGGGCCAGCGCGTCGCCTGGTGTCACTTCGTCCATGTACAGCACCAGCGAGAGCGGCGCGCCGCGGACGCGGTTCGCGACCACCGCGAGAAGCTCACTGTACACGGGGCTGGCCTTGCAAACATACCGCAGGAGCTTGTCGATTCTGGCGAGCTTCCAAGCGAAGGGCGGCTCGTTATCTTGCATGGGCAATTCGATTGTCGTCCCGACGTCGTCGAATACGCCCTCAATGGTGGATTGGACCGCGTAAGCCGTCAGCTCTTGCGCATGGCCAGGCTCCGCGAGCTTCTTGGCGATGCGAACGAGGGCCTTGCCAGATACGCCATGCGTAGCGATGGCATCGGATAGCCGACGCCGCTTGGCCGCCTGAGGTCGCGGACATCGGATACCCGACTCCGCTTCGGGGCCATCGCGCCGCCGCTTGGGCATCGCGCCGCCGCTTGGCCACGAACGACGCGCGTCACTCGCGAGTCGAGCCGAAACGGCTGAGCAACTAGCCCCCATCGCGAGCCCATCCTCGCCAACGCCCGCCCGAGCGACGCCCTCGCTTCACCCCAGCGATCCCCATCGCTCCCCTCTCCCTAAGCGGTCGCCATCGCTTCGCCCCAGCGATCCCCATCGCTCCCCTCTCCCTAAGCGATCGTCATCGCTTCACCCTAGCGATCCCCATCGCTCCCCTCTCCACAAGCGATCGCCATCGCTTCACCCCAGCGATCCCCATCGCTCCCCGCTCCCTAAGCGATCGTCATCGCTTCACCCCAGCGATCCCCATCGCTCCCCTCTCCACAAGCGATCGCCATCGCTTCACCCCAGCGATCCCCATCGCTTTTTTTATACACATGTGCGCCACCAGCTGCGGGGCTGGGCGCGAAAGCGGGGCGGCGAGCGGCGTCAACGTCTGTTGCTACCGCACGGCCGCGCGCTGGTCCCAGCGCTGTAGCTGATGACGGCGGGCCCTCACGAGGACTTCGCAGTCACAAGGTACGCCTTGGCCATCGACATCACCAGAGTGCTCTGCGCCGCCGCCTGCGTCGACATGTCGCTGACATCCTGGGCGGACCAAGTGAACTCCGAAGGTGCGACCTTGCCACTGCTGACTTTATGGGCGACCTTCTTCATCTTGGCCAGCGTGTCCATGATCTTTTTCGCGTGAACCAGCGTAGCCTCGGGGATCTTCCCGACCCCGTCGCACTTGAGCGCCGACTCGAGCTTGTACATGGGCGCCACAATCCTGCTCAGGGTACGCGTGGCCAGGAGCTTCTGCTGCTGCGCCTCCTTGTCTTTCTTACTCTGCTCTTTCCTCTCCTGCTTCTCGCGCGCCGCGCGCTCCTTGGCGGTCTCGC